TCTCTTGTTCTGTTGCAGGTTTAGAAAGGTGCCCTTAGCAAGGGGAGCAGCACGCAGTTTGCTCTGGATGTGCTTCATCTACCCAGCACGGGCGTGGAGGTTACTTCCTCCACTGCCTTTGGTTGGTTTAGACCTGGTGAATCTTCTGTCTGGCTGGGACTTTCCTAGGGAGCTAAATAGGGCCGGGGCACTGCTCATACCCTCTCTTGGTTCCCACTGTCTAGTTGCTAGCATGGTCCTTGGCATGGCTCTTGGCCAGGGTGAACTGATGAGTGCTTTTCCCCCAAAAGCCGCTGACTGCATTAGAGGATGGCGCAGATGAGGGCCTGTTCCTATAGGCAGTCGTGACAAGGACACGTTTTTTGGCGGGGGGGTAGTAGGAAGAGTTGAGTTATCTGGCTGTGAATGATGCTACACCTCAGGGACAGAAAATGGGTGACCCATGCAGTTTATTGATATAAAAGCCCAAAAGTACTTTGAGTTGGAGGCTTTCTGACTCATTTTCTAGGAGAGGTGCTATTCTGTAGGTTTTGGTAATTTGAAAGAAAGAAAAAGCTTCTTTATACCTTCTGTCATTCTAAGGAATAGCTATGTGACCTGTATAAGGCTTTTTGGGGGAAGTTTAATAGGAATAACTACTTAGCAACAAAACAAAGTGAAAGCTCATCTTTTTCTTCTGCCTGTGGATCAGTCACTGGAAGAATAGGGTGGTACCATTACTTTGTTAATTCTGTAATTACTTCAAATGATTTGGGGCTTTTGGCTTGTTTGTGAACTATTTTTAATGGTAATGTTGCTGAAGAGTTGACTCAGTGTCTGAGTGGATGAACACAACCTCTGGAAATGTGCGTCTAGAGAGTATTCCTATAATTCCAAAACTGAAGTTTCACTTTGTATGAATTATTTCCCATATTCCCTTAACATGAACTCTTTCTGCCAGTAAACAATTTTGTCCAGCAGTGAACATTACTGTGCTAAAAATGCAGATTAATATTTACTAAAAGGTTTTCTGCAGCATTTCTTCTCACTGCCGTCAGGTCTGTAAAGCAAAGAATCACTGACTCTAAGAAAATTATCCTGAAAGACCCTATTTTTCTCTCCTGCAATACTGGCTGAATAGGCATCACATTTTAAACCTTAACACTTACCTTGTTTTCAGGCTCATCTCCTTTCAGCACACACAGGGTTCATTCTGTCTCTTCTGTTTGGTTTTAAATTGTGGTTGTCCCACCTGCTGAGAGTCATTAAAATAAGCAACAGGAAGGTCTGTACTTTGTGGGTTTTATACTCAAACCTTTATATTCTCTAGTCAGTTTCAATTAATATTCTTTCAGACAGAAGGGATTAATAATGAATTGGGGGGGGAGAAAGTGGAAATTTCTTGCTTAACTTCTGTATATTCTATACTTCATATTCTGCAAAAATCAAGCAGAGCTACACCTGACCATCTAGCTGATATACACAGATGTGATGTAACTCACAGTATAAAATGATACTTACTGTCATCTCCACACTCTAATTAGCATTGAGAGAGTTTTTCCACCCAGACTTCTCTTGCTCTGTGGTTGGAGACAAGCATTCCCTCACTCACAGAACATGATCGCATGTGTACAGGTGGTTTCCAGCGGGATCCCACACAAGCAGTGGGATCCCGATCCCATGTGCGTAGGTTGTTCTGTGGGCACTGAAGGAACAGCAGCCCCTGGGATGTCCTCTGCTGCAGAATTTCACAGAGCAGCAGGTGATGCTCATTTCTCATCCTCACCTGCAACACCCCGGGGTTATGTTCACCCACTCTCAAGGCCATCATGCAATATCATGAGCACTGACCTACAGTGTTACGATGCCAACCTGGAATGCTTTTACTTTTACCTGAAGGCAAGTTCTCTTCATGGGGCTGAGCTACCCTCACTCCACAGTTCAGTTGGCTGTTCTGGGATTTTTTGTCTTCTTCAGAGCCCAGGACGATCAAAAGCACCAGAGCTAGTTTAGGAAACGTAAGGTCGAGTTTGGGAGAAGGCTTTGTGACCTTCCTGTAGGCTCAACTGCTGGAAGTCAGCGAGGAAATATGGCAACAGCTTCGTTCCCTCCACCTTTTTGGTAGCGTGATTTGTATTTCTGTTCCTTATAGAGAAGAAATTCTTCACCATGAGAGTGGAGAGGCACTGGAACAGGTTGCCCAAGGAAGTTGTAGATGCCTTGTCCCTGGAAGTGTTCAAGGCGAGGTTGGACAGGACTTTGAGCAACCTGGTCTAGTGGGAGAGAGGTGTCCCTCACCATGGCAGGGGGGTTGGAACTACTTGATCTTCAAGGTCACTTCCAACCTTAACCTGTGATTCTGTGATTCTGTGAACTGGCTGTCAAAGCAAGTGCTTGACTGGGTGAATTGTGTATGGTACCTCCACACTCCAGGGAAAAATATGCTAGTCCTCAGCTAACATCCATATTGGGTGCATTTATGTCAGTGCTTTAGCTCTAGTCAGGAGTGCAGCAGGGATGGATGACTTCCCAAGGGATGGTGGCCAAGAGGTGGCAGCCTGTCCCACCACTCCTAGGCTGTCCCACCACCCACAGCCAGGGAGCAGGAAAGGCTGGGGGGTGGTACCAGGCTCAACTGACAATCCAAATTCCTAGCCAAGTTCATAGCGATGAAGCAGGCCCAAGATCATGGCAGCAACGCAAGTCAGCAAGTCAGAGTCCAGATCAGGTCCAAAGACAGCATCCAGGCCCATCCACAGAGGTGAGGCAGGTCTGAGGTGGAGCCAGGATGTCAGTCCATGGCTCAGGCAAAGAACAAAGGTGGGAGCCTCACCTTAAAAGCAGCTTCCAGCAGAGCTTTCTGAGGAGCTCACCTCAGGCCAGGGAGCCGTGGCAGCCAAACCCTGGAGAAAGAGTTCGTTCTCAGGGCCCCAACAAGGATTTCAAACTTTCACCGTGAATCTTTCAACCATCTCCACTTATTGTGCTTTGATTCTTATCACTGATGGACATTTAGTTGCTGGGACCAACTGGAACTAGTCTGATGTGAGTGAAAATGTGCAAACCGTACAGTGGGAACATCACTTTTTAATGTACGGAGAGCTGAACTGTCCTCGGCGGGCAGATCTTGAAGTTATGTATTCTCACAAATGCTCTCAGATTTTCTGACTGAGGGAGGTAGGTTGGTCAGTCCAGTTCAGAGCCCAGAGGAAGTTACTTACATGTTCCTGGTGGGAATAGTTGGGAGATCAGAGTCTTAGAGTGAAATAAGAGTCAACAGAAGAGATCTGCTGTCAGGAGATGTGAGTTGATGTGGGTTGATGTGGGCTACCAGCTCAGGTCCTGGTAAAGCATAGGGTTTAAAGGCAATTGCCAGCAGTTCAGGGGCCAGATAAAACATCTCCAGTTCAGTGGGATATAGAAAAGCCCTGTCACTCTGAGAGGAATTAAGTGGTGCAGGTATGGACCAGCTCTTTGTCTAGTATCAGATTATATGTGCTTTGTTCTGCACATATTTGGTCAAATTATCTTTTTACCGCTGATAAAAGCAGTTGTACTTTGTGAGATGATGTGAGACAAAAACTACTGGAGCCGTAATGGTTGGTGGCTGTGATTGTAGACAAATTGCTTTTGTAGAGCAGCTTTCAATCTTGAAACTCGTAATTTGTTAGATACCATGATCTGTAATAAGGAGTTAAATACACATATATGCATATATATGCATTTTGTCTGGTTGGGTCATAATGTTGATAAATCTTTGGCATCTGCAGGACATTTATGAATCTACTGCCTCCTGGCTTGCATATATTTGGAAACAGCTAGAAAACCTCTCCTGGGAGAACTGCTTTCTTGGCAGGTGATGACAAATACATGGCCAGTCTGGCTTCATAGGACAAGCAAGGTGCAAATAAAATTACATTTGCCTTTTGGATTTCACAGGCCTCAGATTACAAATATCACGGCTGGAGGCAAAAGGGTGGTTGTGAGGATAAGTGAATTTTTCTCTTACAAAGCAACTGCCCTTTGTTGTCAAGGAAGCCATCCCAGTGTTCACTGAGTCACCTGTTAGTCAATAGTCAATGGCAGAGAGCTTCAAAATCAAAATAATCTTGTTATAAACCTGCTTCACCAACATATCGTGCTGAGCAAAAGAACCGCTTCTAGCTAAGCATTAATAAATCAAAATGTTAATGCAAGAAGGAATATGAAAGCTTCACTACTCACAGTCAGGATTGGCATAGGCAAGGTCAGGGCAGGTCTCTTGGTCTGCCAAGGTCATTGCAGAGCGTTGCCGGAGCAAAAGTGCTGTAATGAAGCTGGAGAAAAAGAGCTTTGTATGCATGTAGGTGGTGTAGGAGAACGACTGAGCAGAGGCAATTGGCAGAGCAGGGAGAGAAAGGGTTTGCATTTCAAAGTGAAGTGGGTGCTCGTCTGTAGATATCCTGAAACACATGAGGTGAATCACGAGGAAGAAAGGCTGAGAAACTACAGTTTGTCTGTGGAACAGGTAGTCGGTTTGCTACCTTCTCCAAACTGCTTACTAGACAGCCATGCCTGGGGAATATTTAGTGTTTCTGGTACTCTTCTTTCATCTTCCCCTCTCTCAGGTTGAGAGAGTTGGGGCTGTTCAGCCTGGAGAAGAGAAGGCTCCAAGAAGACCTTGCAGTGGCCTGCCAGTACCTGAAGGGGCTACAGGAAAGCTGGGGAGGGGCTGTTTACAAGGGTGCGTAGTGACAGGATGTGGGGCAATGGTTTTAAACTAGAGCAGGGTGGGTTTAGACTAGGTATCAGGAAGAAGTTCTGTACTGTGAGGGTGGTAAAGCACTGGCACAGATTGCCCAGAGAGATGGTGGAGGCTCCATGCCTTCAGACATTCAAGGTCGGGCTGGATGAGGCTCTGAGCAACCTGATGCAGTGAGAGATGTCCCTGCTCACTGCAGGGGGGTTGGACTAGATGGCCTTTAAAGGCCCCTTCCAGCCCAACTCATACTATGATTCTATATTTTCTGCCACTCCTGCAGGTTGCAAGAATGTTCACTACGACCTTGTTTTCATCTTGGATGCCTCCTCTAGTGTTGGAAAAGAAGATTTTGAGAAAGTTCGGCAGTGGGTGTCTAATTTGGTGGAAACTTTTGAGATTGGCCCAGACAAAACCCGTGTAGGTGTGGTGCGATACAGTGATCGCCCAACCACAGAGTTCGACCTGGGAAAGTACAAAACCCGTGAGGAAATCAAAGAGGCTGCACGGAAAATTAAGTATTTTGGGGGAAATACAAACACTGGAGATGCTCTCAGGTACATCAACAGCTACAGTTTTTCCAAAGAAGCTGGTGGGAGACTTAGTGATCGAACTGTTAAAAAAGTGGCCATCCTTTTGACGGATGGAAGGAGCCAAGATTATGTCTTGGATCCAGCCACTGCAGCCCATCAGGCTGGGATTAGGATCTTCGCTGTGGGTGTTGGCGAAGCCTTAAAAGAAGAACTCGACGAGATTGCTTCAGAACCCAAGTCTGCTCATGTGTTTCATGTCTCCGATTACAACGCCATTGACAAAATTCGGGGGAAGCTGAGAAGACGTCTCTGTGAAAGTAAGTAGAACTCCCAGTTCTTCTATACCACTAGAGTTCTAGAAGATAAGGTTGACATGTAAGTATGAAAAGCTGAGGTTGCTTTCTTTCATGCTTATAATTCCATGTGGCTAATTCTTTATTTTGCTGTCTTCCACACTGTAAGAAGCTGTTTTACAACCTGGAGCGCGATGAAGCAATCACTTCTGTGTTCTTCTGCCCAAGTCAGTGTTAACTATAGGTCAGCTTCTAGTGGTCAATTAGAGAGCAAAATGTGAATTCCTTTTTGGTTCTGATGTCGTTCAATTACTTCACAATATTTTGGACTACTGATTGCAAAGGGTGACATTTATAACCAGATTTTAGGTTACTTTGTATAGGAACTGTATTTTTTCCTCCTTGTTTTCTGGCATTGTACTGAGAAGAGAGTGGTCTGGATGCTGCTGAGAGTGCTCCTTTAGGAAGCCAAATGATCCTTGTGCTTTTCTGCCTTTCAGCCTCCAGCTCTGCTGACAGCTGGTGTTCACTATTGCTATGGCTGTCAACTGTATGAGCTTTGGTGATGTTTTGAATGACTTTTAAGGGAGAACAGTGTGTGAAATTCACACTGAATTAATGAACTCTGAATTTCCAGGTCCATGGTGAAGATGATTGTAATGCCATTATGGCTGGTATCTCCCAGCATTTTAATGGGAACAGCAATAACTACGTGGTGCTGTCACACATTGCAGTGTTACATTAACCAGGTTCGGAGACTGGCGAGCTGTGTTACTGTCAAGTGACAATAAGTTGCCTGAAATAAAAGCAGGCCTTGTAGCTGCTGGTTAAGCTCTTTTATTGCTCTCTGTGACCTCCATCTGCAAGCAAAAAAAAGTGTTAACATAATGCTCTGGGCTTATGCATGCTTCTTAAAGAGTAGGTAGCACAAACAGGCATAAATCAGTTGACGTTGCTCAGCGGTATCAAGGTGTGACTGCTGTCTTGCAACCTGAATAAGAATGGGTTTGGACAGCATAATCTGAAAACAAGTGGAAGTTGTGGTGGTTATTGACTGTGAGCTTTGCAGACTGAAGGAGCTCAGTCTTTTTCCCTAAAAATTTTGTGTAATCGTACACGCAGCTGGGATGTAATAAAGAGGGGCAAACCCTTCTGGTGGGCACACTCAGTCTTCACTCAAACAAATTCCTACTGCAGTGACTGGATTCTCCAAATGGTAATTTTCCGTAGAAATTCTATTACTTTCCAAGGCAAGTGTTTTAGTACCATGTACCTGGGTCGGTGTTTGTCACCTTCTCAAAAAATCATTCATCTGCCTGTCAGAGTATAACGCCTTTTGTCTGTGGCTTTCTGAGTCTGTACTAGGTCCTCACGTGTGGGCAGAGCATTTCCCATTAGATTGCAGAGGATCACAGGGAGCATCCTTGATCCCAGGTGGGACAGCAGTGACTCTCTAAGGGGTTTGCTTCTGAACTCACTGCACTAGTGGGTTTGGTGGCGAGGCATAAAGCCTCTGAAAGGGTAAGTGGAAGGGAAGGCATTGCTTTCATGAGATACAGGGAGCTTTTGAGGTGAAAATGTGCTTATGATGAGTTGACTCTGGCTGGTGCCCACGAAGCAGCTCTGTCACTCTGCTCTTCCAGTGGACAGAGGAGAGGATCGAGATATGGAAAGGGAGAACAATCAATAATGACCATCACAGGCAAAAGAGAGTCCACTCAGGGAAATTAGATTATTACTTGTCAGATCAGAGTAGGATAGTGAGAAATTAAAAAAAAAATCTTCCAACACCTTCCTCTCACCCCTCCCTTCTTCATGGGCTCAGCTTCATTCCTGGTTTTCTCAACCTCCTCCCTTGCAGCAGCTCAGGGGGACAAGGTTTGTGGTCAGTTCATCATGTGTTGTCTCTGCCACTCCTTCCTCCTCAGTGGGAGGACTCCTCACCCTCTTCCCCTGCTCCAGCATGGAGTCCCATCCACAGAAGGCAGTCCTCCAGTATGGATCCTTCCCTCAGGCTGCAGTTCTTCACAAACTGCTCCAGTGTGTCCTTCCCACAGGGGTGCAGTCCTTCAGGAACAGGCTGCTCCAGCGTTGGTCCCCTGTGGGGTCGCAAGTCCTGCCAGCAAACCTGCTCCAGTGTGGGCTCCTCTCCTTTTCACAGGTCCTGCCATGAGCCCGCTCCAGCACGGGCCTCCCATGGGGTCACAGTCTCCTTTGGGAGTCCACTTGCTCCAGCGTTGGGTCCTCCAGGAGCTGCAGGTGGACATCTACACCACCACCAGCCTCCGTGGGCTGCAGGGGCACAGCCTGCCTCACCATAGTCTTCACCACGGGCTGCAGGGGAGTCTCTGCCCCAGCACCTGGAGCACCTCCTCCCCCTCCTTCTTCACCGACATCTGTGTCTGCAGTTGTTTCTCTCGCTTATTCTCACTCCTCTCTCACAGCTGCTGCTGTGCAGCATTTTTTTTTTCACTTCTTAAATAGGTTATCACAGAGGTGCTACCACTGTTGCTGACAGGCTCAGCCTTGGCCAGTGTTGGGTCTGTCTTGGAGCCGGCTGGCGTTGGCTCTGTCAGACGTGGGGGAAGCTTCTAGCAGCACAGAAGCCACCACTGTAGCCCTGGTGCTACCAAAACCTGGCCACCAAACCCAACACAAGGCTGCCGAGTGGATCGCTTTCAGTGGACGGACAAAGGGGATCAGCCAGCCTTCGGTGAGCGTCACAGGGGCAGCAGAGAGGAGGGACTCGGCTGAGCAAACAGCGAGTGGGGCACGTGCACGTGTGGAGGATCACTCAGCCACAGGTGTGAGGACGTTAACAGGGACAAGGGGAACCGGGTGTCCAGCTACAGGGGTCACAGCGCGTGGAGATGGATTTGAAGAAGTGGGTGCAGGATAGAAAGGGGGGTTATCAACTATGGTGCCAAACACAAAAATCAATGGACTGATTTCCACAGCAACAGCAGTTATAGAAGAGAGGATTGCCACAGTTGGTGCTGGGCAGTATTCTTCTGATCCAAGCACTCTGGTGAGATGGTCTAACATCCCTGTGTCCTTCATTCTAACCTTGACAGGGGACTTCTCAGTGTCTGACCTCCATCCCTCTCGCTGCAATCAGAGTCAAGTTTTGTTCTGTTTTCACTGGGTATCAAAAAGAGCTTGTTCTGTTCCTTTGTACATCAGTATTTTCTGCTTGGAAGGCCGTTATGTATCTTCCCCAAGTCTTTTAGTCTGAAATTTAAAGCAGGAGAGCTGCTTTTTGGCAGAATCAGTCTTGTCATACTTATTTAATTTGTTGTTTTGCGTGCAAAATAGGCATTATTTAATAGGCATTATTTTTAGATTAGATCTAAACAAATAAGAAGTTCTTGCTCTCACTGAAGCCGGCCACGGACATAGGGGATGAGACAGAGAAGGCACTGTCAGCAGAAGTGCTAATATAGAGATCAAGTAACTTTTTTGTTATCTGAATACGTGACGTGGAACTGTTTTGGGGTGGTGAGAGAAGGCTCGTGGAGAAGAGGACCGAGGGATTTCTTGTACGTGTGCTACTTTTAAATTTTGTGTTAACGCAGTAGGGAGAGGAAAGGAGCTCATATTTAGAAAGCAAAAATGTTTAGTAGCTGTTGTAGTTCGCTTTCGGTGGTTTTAATGACAGCACTGCAGAAAACAGGAACACGCAAACCACCAGGTGGGTGGAGGACGTGACAAGGGCATGTGCCAGGCTGCTGCTTAGTTCGTGCACGTTCTAAGAAAAAAGCATCCATTGTCATGGCCAGGCTAGGAGTTTAATAGACATCATCCTTTGTGAGCTCCTGGGAGACAGATGAATCAAAGAGCAGAAATGGTAGAATTTTTTTTTTTGTTTTACTGAACCGGTGATGAGTCTTCCAGCCCTTGTACTACTCTACTACCGAAATGTGAAGAGTTGGAAATACTGGGTTTCGTACCAGCAACTGTTCAGAATCATTTGTCTCGGGTCTCACTGGATGTCTGTCGTAGACTCAGTCGTTCCATCTTTCTGTATTTGACTGAATTTATTGCTAAGAACATGTCGTTAAGTTCATAAATAGCGTTATTAGCACTCATTTGATCACGTGGAAGTAAGCATAGCAGAACTGAAAAATAACGTGGCTGCTCAGTGGGACATTGTGGCAGTGGGAGATATTTTTGATAAACATCCCCATTACATTCTGGAGTATAATTAGCAGGCGAAAATGGGTGATGCTTTCATAGGAAAGCAGGAGAGCAGCATTCTCCTAAAAATTCCAGAGATGCTACATACTTCCTAAATAGCATTTCTGCTTATATGTTGTAGAGTTAACAACAGGCAGCTATGGAATATTTAAAAATACACTAGCATCTGCTCCTGGTAGGCAAATAGTGGGTTTATACTTGTAAAAGAGAGCTAACTGCTTTGATTTCAACCCAGATTTAGTTTAAAGCTGGATTTGGTAAGTTTGTGCATGTACGAAGTTTTCAACGTGCCTTGAAACTGGTGGCACTGGTGCTTTAACACTATTATCTGGCATTTAAGCCTCAATGGAGGAGATGTTGCAATGGTCACCTAAACCACCTGTACCTGCTCCGAGGTCATCGTTTCTTAAAACTGCTGATAGCAGTGCTTTGGATGCTGTAATATTTGAATTCATTCTGTTATCATTAAGCCAGGCAGGTGTTAAGACAAAATTTTGAAAGCTGTGCAAAACCATTCTCCAAAAACATTCTCAGTCTTTGCTGGTTCCATGAGGCAGAAGCCTGTGACTTGGCACCCTCAGAGTACACGGCATGTACGTGGGATTACTAAGCCTCTGCTCTACTGCAAAAATTGGGTTTTACAACTTGAAAATAGATTTGGCTTTAGAGGTGCAGTCTCTGCTAAGATTTGGCTGGTTTTTTTCCTACAACTAGTAACAGGAGAAACAGGAGCAGATGGTTTCTTAAGGAAGTACTACTAGGAGTATCGTACTCGGCACTGGTCTGTGCCCAGTAGTGACTTTCCTGTACAATGTAGCCCTTTTCTA